TAACAGAGTAGTATGAAAAACCATACTCCGATAAATTTTAAAACTTAGGGGAAATAGAAAAATTTCTAGGAACACACTACCTTCCTAAACTAACACAAACTGAGGTAGAAAATCTGAATAGACCCATAATAAGAGAAGAAATTGAAAAGGTAATAAAAAAAAAAAAAAAAACTTACAACCACAAAAAAAAAAAAAAAGCCCTGGCCCAGATGGTTTCACTGGAGAATTCTACTAAAAATTCAGAGAAGAGCTCACACCAGTACTACTCAAACTATTTCATAGCATAGAAAAGGAAGGGATACTCCCCAATTCATTCTGTGAAGCTGGCGCAAACCTGATACCAAAGCCAGGCAAGCACATCACAAAAAAAGAAAATTACAGAGCAATCTCATGAATGCAGATGCAAAAATTCTCAACAAAATCCTAGCCAATAGAATTCAGTATCATATCAAAATAATAATGCACCATGACCAAGTGGAATTCATACCAGGTATGCAAGGTTCAACATTAGTAAATCAATCAACATAATCCAGCACATAAATAGAACAAAAGAAAAGAATCACATAATCATCTCCATCTATGCAGAAAAGGTATTTGATATAATCCAACACCCATTCCTGATAAAAAACTCTCAATAAAATAGGAATAGAAGGAAATTTTCTCAACATAATAAAAGGCATCTATACAAAACCAACAGCCAACTCATCTCGATGGAGAGAGGCTGAAAGCAGGAACAAGACAAGGATGCCCTTTATCACCACTCCTATTTAACATTGTGCTAGAAGTCCTAGCTAGAGCAATAAGGCAAGATAAAGAAATAAAGGGCATCAGAATTGCTAAGGAAGAAGTAAAATCATCCCTATTTGCAGACGATATGATACTATACATAGAGAACTCTAAAGATTCCAAAAGAAAATTGCTGGAGATTCAGCAGAGTAGCAGGATACAAGATCAACATACAAAAATCAGTTGGATTCCTATACATCAAAAAAAGAGAACTACAAAAAGGAAATCAGGAAAATGATACCATTTATAATAGCACCTAATAAAATAAATTACTGAGGAATAAATCTAATCAGAGAATGTAAAGTTACCTATACAAAGAAAACTACAAAACACTACTGCAAGAATCCAAGAGACCTACATAAATGGAAAAACATATCATGCTCATGGATAGGAAGACTCAACATTGTACAAATGTCAATCCTACCCAAAGCTATCTACAGATACAATGCAACTCAGATTCAAATTCCAACAACATTCTTTAACAAGATAGAAAAACTAATCATTAACTTTATATGGAAAGGATAAAGGCCCCAGATAAGTAAAGCATTATTGAAGAAGAAGAACAATGATGTAGGAGGCCTCACACTACCTGATCTCAGAACCTACTATATAGCTACAGTAGTCAAAACAGCCTGGTACTAGTACAACGAAAGACACATAGACTAATAGAACAGAACTGAGAATCCAGATGTAAATTTATCTACGCACAGTCAGCTGATCTTTAACAAAGACCCAAAGTCCATTAAATGGGAAAAAGACAGTCTTTTTAACAAATGGTGCTGGCAAAATTGGATGCCTATCTGTAAAAAAATGCAACAGGACCCATAACTTACACCATACACAAAAACTAATTCAAAATGGATCAAAGACCAAAATATAAAAACTTAAATGATAAAGATCATGGAAGAAAAAAATAGGGACAATGCTAGGGGCCATAATATACGGCATAAATAGGATACAAACCATAACTAACAATACACAAACACCAGAAGAGAAACTAGATAACTGAGTTATCCTAAAAATTACATATATATGCTCATCAAAAGACTTCACTAAAAGAGTAAAAAGAGAACCTACACACTGGGGAAAAAATTTATATCCAGCAAGGGTCTAACCTCTAAAATCTATAAGATAGTACAACACAGTAACAATAAAAAGACAAATAATCCTATCAAAAAATGGACAAAACCTATTAACAGACACTTCACCAAAAACGACATTCAGGCAGCTAGCAAACATAGGAGGAAATGCTCCCGATCATTAGCCATTAGAGAAATGCAGATTGAAACTATAATGAGATACCATCATACCCTGACATTACTGGCATAATCAAAAAAAAAAAAAACAGAAAATAACAAATATCGGAGAGGTTGTGGAGTGATTGGAACTCTTATACATTGCTGGTGGGAATGTAAAATGGTACAACCACTATGGAAAACTCTATGGCACTTCCTTAAAAAGCTAGAAATAGAAATATCATATGAGCCAGCAATCTCACTCCTAGGAATACATCCTAGAGAAATAAGAGCCTTCACATGAATAGACATGCACATCTACGTTCATTGCTGCATTATTCACAGTAGCAAAAAGATGGAAACAACCTACGTGCCTATCGACAGATGAATGGATAAACAAACTATGGTACACACACACAATGAAATACTATGCAATGATAAAGAATAATGATGAATCAGGGAAACATCTCACAACATAGATGAATCTGGAGGGCATTATACTGAGTGAAATAAATCAAACACAAAAGGACAAATACTGTATGAGACCACTATTATAAAAACTGAAGAAAAGATTTACATGCAGAAAGAAACGATCTTTGATGGTTACCAGGGAGCAGTGGGGAGGAGAAGTCACTAACTAGATAGTAGGTAAGTTTTAACTTTGGTGAAGTGAAAGACAGTACACATTATAGAGGAAGTAAGCACAATGTGACCAAGGCAAAATCATAGAAACTATAGACACATAGAAACACTCTGAGGGACTGAGTAACTGGGCTGAGGGCTGGGGACTATGATTTCGGAGGACATCTAGGTCAATTGGCATAACATAGTACATAAAGAAAATGTTCTACATCCCACTTTGGTGAGTAGTGTTTGGGGTCTTAAAAGCTTGCAAGCGGCCATCTAAGATACATTTACTGGTCCCATCCCATCCAGAGCAAAGCAGAATGAAGAAAACCAAAGACACATGAGAAGTGTTAGTCCAAAAGGACTAATGGACCACAAGTATCACAGCCTCCAGCAGCCTGATCCCAGAACAACTAAATGGTGCTTGGCTACCACCACTGACTGCTCTGACAGGGATCATAGTAGAGGGTCCCAGACAGAGGGGGAGAAAAATGTAGAACAAAATTCAAATTCACAAAAAAAGACCAGACTTACTGGTCCGACAGAGACTGGAAAAACCCTGAGACTATGGCTTCCAGATACCCTTTTAACTCAGAACTGAAGTCACTCCTGAAGTTCACCTTTCAGCCAAAGATTACACAGGTCTATAAAACAATAACACAACTGAGGAACATGCTTCTTAACTCAACCATGTAAATGAGACCAGAAGCAAAGATGAGAAGGCAGGAAGGGATAGGAAAACTGGATGAATGAAAACTGGGAACCTGGGGTAGAGAAGGGGATAGTATTCACACATCACGGAGATTGCAGCCAATGTCACAAAACAATTTGTGTGTAAATTGTTGAATGAGAAATTAATTTGCTCTGTAAACTTTCACCTAGAGTATAATAAAAAAAAAAAAAAGATTAATCTCACCAGTTTCTTTTTTACCTTTTTAATATGACCATAAGAAAATGTAAAATTATATATCTTTGTCATTGAATAGATGTAGGGGAAAAGTATTCCAAGTAGAGGGAAGAGTCATTGCAAAGGCCCTGTGGTAGGAAACTGTGTTAATGAGAATGGAGAGTTATTGAAAGTTTTTAAAGAGAAGAATAATTTGTTAGATCCAAGCCTTAGAAAAAACAATAAGCAACTAACAAAAAATGGAGAATAGATTAAAGGAAGAAGACTATGGCATCAGGAATCCAGTCACTATCCAAGAGTCAAGACCAGCTGAGCTGAAGGCCTGCACCTGGGGGGCACAGAGAGGATGAGCAAGGAAGGAGACAGGCTTTAGGGACTGAAAGAATATGGATCAAGAGGAAAGGGAGGAGCTAAGGGTGGCTGTGGGTTTACCCTGGAATAACCCTGACTGGGAAATCTACCTCCATTAACCTAACAGCATGAAGGATACAGAAAGGGTCATGAGGAATAGGGTTGTGGGCAGAGAATGGGGGAAGAAGAGGGATCTGAGATGATGAATTAGCCTGTGTTACACATTAAAGGATGCTGTTTTCTCCCATGTCCTCAACTTCAGGACTCTGGCTCTCTCTGTTTCTAACTTTCTGACCCTGCTTCACCTTAAATTCCAGAATGCTCTCTTGACTGTTAAGTTCTGCTATGGGCTTCCAAAGCAACTGCCAGTCGATGTGGGGGAAAACCAAGAGAGATCCATCATGAAGGAGATCGCAAACCAGCTGCCTGGTGCTTCACAAAGAAAACCACTGCTGCATTAGCTGACATTCTACATCTCTCTCTTTTTTCCTCTCTCTCTCTCATCACTATCTCTCTCTCTCTTTTCCATTCTCTTTCATTTATTCATCCTTTGAATGGGAACTGTACGAGTGGTTGCAGAAGTGTGAAATACACTTTGCAAATTCTTTCTGTTGAGAAACAAACAAACAAAAAAAAGATACCTTCTTCCTGCGACTGAAAGAGGCAGAGTAACTGCTTAAACCTGAGTGTACAAACCACCAGCAAGAAGGAACGACACTGAAGCAGCCTTCTTACTACTCTCTTTTGAAGGAGGTATTATCGCAATTATTTTAAAGATATGAAAACTAGTCCCACAGAGGTTTAATAACTTGCTCAATGTCACACAGTCAGCAAGTCATGGAAGAGTGATCTTAACCAGATCCTCCTGACCTAAAGCCCTTACTAGCAGTTAAAGTCCTAAGTGTGACACGGCCCCATCCACTGCCTGTTCCCTATAGCAATGATTTGGTCCCTGTAGTTCCTCAGGTCTTTACAGTAATTGACTCCTTTTGCAAAATAAATTAACCAGGGCACACAGTGGGAAGTACAGGGCAGACAGCAGTTTTTCCGGAAGCAAGGCAAAGCTCACAGAAGAGCTGACCCCAACCACTTACCTCTACGCAGGGCTCCCAGCTCTCGGGTCTCAGGTAGGAAAGGAAAGTCATGGCTGGTATCAGAGTCCCAGCAAGGTGTGAAAAGGGCATCATCCCAGCATTTCTGTGACCAGCAGTGGCCCTTTGAAAGCATGACAGGCTGTAGTAGCCTGACCAGGCAGCTCTGAGGCACCAGTGGCTTCTCTCCGCAGCTTGGTGCCCCACAGAAATTATTGTACTCAAAGCAGAGCTGGGCAAGGTGCAAGAGGAAGTGAGAGTGGCAGCCTTAGCATTCTGGACTTTTGTTTCTCTAATATTTATCTACCCTGTCACAGACGGGAAGTCAGAAGGAGAAGAAGAAAAAGTATGCAGAGCAGTGGCTGGAGTAACAGCAAAAGGAAGCTGGCTTCTATCCCAGGAAGTCATCTGACCTCTGGGCTTGGTAAACTTAGGAAAATAATCAGACTGTGGTCAAATAGTCCGCATAACTATCTAGGACAGTGGTTTACAAACTTTGTTCTAGTAGTCAAAATTTACTCTCCCATGAAATGTGTAGAAGTTCAAATTTCTGAAAATGATTTTAAAAATAAAGCTCCAGTGGAACATTCTTTGAAAAGAACAGGCATATTTCAAAACACTTGGAATTCAGAATCAAATGTACTAAAATCCAAATCCAGACTCAGTGACTTTATGGCCATGTGACACTAATTGGGTCACCTAACCTACTGAGCCTTAATCTCTGGTCTGTGAAACGGGGATAATAGTGCTTAATAATAACAGGGTTCACACTTAGAAAATGTTACAAAGAAAGCCATATGACATTAGCTAGTTTACACAAACCACCGAGCCTTATGGAGATGATAAAAGTTTTCTTGTATAATTGAATTAAGTTAGCTTGCATAAAATCCCTCGCCTAGTGCATGGTTCATTGTTATATTTCATAAATGGTAGCTGTTAAGATGATTAAGAATGTGGATAAAATGAGGATAATAATAATACATACTTCATAGTATTGCTATGGATCTCTGGTTGTGCAGTGGTTAAGAGCTTGGCTGCTAACCAAAAGGTTGCAGTTTGAATCCCCCAGCCACTCTTCGGAAACCCTGTGGGGCAGTCCTACTCTGCCCTATAGTTTCGCTATGAGTCGGAATTGACTTGATGGCAATGGGTTTAATATTGCTATGAGATTAAATGAGCTGCTATTTGTGAAGCTCATACCTGGGATGTAGCAAGTGCAATGTATTTGCTGAATAAGGACATAATTTCAAACGTGGGTATTATGGTAGTGTGTCCTAGATATTTTTACTGAGATATCTTGCAGGTGCCTCAACTCCAGCATCTCTAATGCTAAGTTGTGAAGGAGCATGTTGGAATGGACTGAGACTGAATTCGATCTCGTAACTGTATATGAGTTTCCTCCAACACATCTGTAAAATTAACTTACAAATAGTCTCCCTGTCAAAACTTTGCGTTGAGGATTAATTGAGGCTGTTTATGTATATCTCTTAGAGCAGTGCCTAGCACATAGTAGGTACTCAATAAAGTTTAGTACCCTAGAGAGTTAATGACATTTCACCTCCACATAGTCATCCAAGATGGAAATCTCTTTGACTTTACTCTTCTAACTTCATCATTTTTTTTACATCAAACTTTAAACTATATCCTAGAGATTTTATTTATAAAATCTTTCTAATGTCATACTTCATGTCTATTACTATTACTATTGAACGTATTTCATGGGCTGGACTAGTACATATACTCTTAATGGCATCCCAGGGCCCAGATTTGTCTCTTCCTGTGCCTCATCTCTTCCAGTTCATTCTTCATCCTGCAATCAAAGCAATTTTCTAAAATACAAATATGATTATCTCATGTTCTGTTAAAAATATTCTGAGGCTGTGTATTGCGTAGGCCTCGAGCTTCCTGGCCTTTATACCCCCTGCTCCTACCACCACAACCACCACACACACAGACACAGACATGGTTCAGCTCTGAAGGAGAAACAAGCATGTTTGTTATTCAAGAGCAAGCATAACTAGACCCCATTATTAGGACACAGAGTTTAAGTGAATAGAGTAACAGAAGCACGTAAGGGGCAAATGCCCTTTCCTCCCACCATTTGAGAGGAAACCCTTAATGGTCAAGATGAAGCTAAGAAAAAGGGTCCAAGAAGATCCCTAGACATTCCCCAAGCTGTGTTTCATGAGTTGTTAATACATGTGTTTTATAGAAACCTCCCTGGGAAATTTTGTGACTTGAGAATGCCTGATAGTGCCTTGTAAAGATGTTTTCTTTTCATGGGAAATGAAGGTCATCTACCGACCTTAATCAAAGATATCTAAGTTCGGTGTACCTCTTCCAGAACACAACTTACATATCAAATATAAAAGATAATCTTTAAACCTCTTGGTTATCAAATCTTATTTCCTTCCCGTTATGAACCTACCATTCCTACGGTGTTGGGATGAGGTAAGAGAGTGGTAATAATTCATTGTCATGGACCTAGAACTTCCACTGCAGTAGAGTAATAATCATACCTTGAGCAACATAGTAGAGACTCAGTCAGAAGGCCTGGGAAGCCACTTGGTTTTCCATCTATTTTATGACAAGCAAGGTCCAACTCAGGGTCCATAATCATTCAGTCAATGGAGGAATCTCATATTCACTAGACACCTGGAAAAAATGTTCTGTATTATTTGGTAGGCACTATATTCAGTAAGAAGTAAAGAAACAACAAAACTGTATGGCCTGTGCTACCAAAAAATAAATAAATAAATAAAACCCATTGTTGTTGAGTCGAGTCGATTCCGACTCATAGCCACCCTATAGGACAGAGAAGAACTACCCCATAGGGTTTCTAAGGCGCGGCTGGTGGATTCAAACTGCCGATCTTTTGGTTAGCAGTCGTAGCTCTCAGCCACTGCACCACCAGGGCTAGATTAGAATAATTCCTAAATCAAACTCCAAATTTCATAGCTTAACACAGTAAAAAGTTTATTTCTTGCTCACTAAGAATTCAATAAAGATATTCCTGATTGGGCGTATTCTAAGGATGACTCATGGCTTCAGATTGCTTCTGTCTTATTATGCTGTCATATTCAATATATTGCCTCCAGATTTTCTAAGACATGTGAAAAGTACATGAGGAAAACACCCAGACACTTAACTACTTCTGCTCAGAAATGACACATATCACCTTTGTTCCAATCCCATTGGCCGAAACTTGTTTTATGACCACATCCATTTGCAAGGACTCGCTATAGCCTAAGCCTCAAGCCTTCTGCCCCTACCCAAAACTCTGTCACACGAGGACACACTCAAGCACACACACAGACACACAGAGACACTGGTGGGCACCATTTTGCAGCACCAATTCTATATTATGGAAGGGGAACACAAAACGTTGGTGATCAGTGGGCTATCTGTGCCATGACCTTGGAATTCTGTAATTTCCATTTCATGGTGATTAAAAGAAAATAATCACAATGAGCAATCACAGTACAGCTTGGCTTAGACAAGAAAGACCCCTTTAGTTTGGTGTATGCAAAAACCAACCCCAATTCCATCCACTGATTCTAAGTTTCACATGTTAACACCTCTGAAATCAGTATGTGTCTCAAACTGACACTGATAAATAACAATTAATCCATGTACAGTAATTCATATATTACAATCATAATTTGGAGAATTTTTTTTTCTTTCTTAGTGGCAAAGAAAGTGGTGCATTTTACAATCAGTGTGAGATCCAATGAAGTACACTTTTGTCACTAAGAGAATAAAAAAAGCTTATGTTCAAGTAATTCAAGGAAGCAGTGAGTTAAACAACAGAAGCAAAAGATTTATTTCCTAAGCACACTTTAGAAAATTTGCTAGTCTGGTGTGTATTTTGTATCTACAAAGGGAGGTGGAGTACTCAGTATTTCTCAACTTTTTTGACTTATGTAGCTCTTTTATCCTCGGACTGTATCCATTAACAGTATCCATTAACACACCATGGATCAACACTGCTGTGGTGTATGGTATGGAAAATGGTGCTTTTAAGCATATGCTCCAGGTGACCCAATTCCTGTATCTAAGGCTGGGTCTTCACATGAAGTACTTCTCTGTACACCTCAGTATTTTCCTCCCACATGCACCTAGTACCAGAAGCAAGTGAGTGCTCTCCACAGGGGTTCTCAGGGCAAAGAGCCCTAAGCAAAGCCTTCTCCTCTCAGTCTTAAATGCCTGTGACATTTCCCATGCTATTGTTTTGTAATTAATTTGTATTTTCTATCTCTGTACTGTCTGTCTCTCCCAGTAGAATGTAAACTTCATGAGGTCAGAGGCTTTGTCCAGTGTTCACGTTTACTGAGTGCATAAATAGTTGGTAAATGAATCAATGAACGATATATCTGAACTCTTTTTTAATATGTAGCTAGCATTTTGCAGTGGTTGCCACCTTTCCGTATTGAATAATTTGACTCTCTTATAAGATGTCCATTGATTATCCTGAGACTTCTCTTGCATTTTACTCCTTCTTTCTATTCCCTATCGGTACCAAGGCTCCAGTTTAAGCAACACAGAGGTCAGAGTCAGATAAAATGTATTAGGATAAAAGTTCTTGTTGCAGTAAGTACTGTACTTTTTCCTGTAATATAAAAATCTTCTTTGCCTCTTTTACTCATGAATCTGAGGCAGAGCCAGTTTCATTATGGCCAAGAGGCTTTTCCCACCTTCTTATCTCTCCCTACTCCTTCCAATTGCCAGCAAATCCTGCTTGTCCATTCAGACTCCAGAGAAGTGTGAAGTAATGCAGAGTGCTATTATTTCAAAATATTAATTATCCTATGTAATTCTGGGCATCATCATTTCATTGTATGAGTTATTTAACTTCACTGAGTTTCCTTAATTATACATTGCAAACAATATTGTGGCCTAATTGATATTATTTCAATGTTAAGGACATAATATGTGTGGGTGTACTTTGTAAATGTTATAGCTTTACATAAATGTTGAGTCTCATTTTTCATTTGTCTATTTACCAAATGTGTATTGAGTGCTTAACATAAACCAGGACACATTATGTCCGTTACAGTCAAAGTTGTAGCCCTGATGCCTAGTCACAACCAAGTTACTTAATAAGTTATCAATAAATATTATTTGAATGAAATAATGAGTAGATTATATATAAAAGCAGGCCTTTGTCTAGTGTTCAGTCAGTACGTTATTTCTCCTCTTCTTAGCAACTTCCTCCAAGAAAGAGAAAGGAGATTAAAAGGAATAGCTTCTCCTTTTTCTAGAAGTCAACCCATGACAAAATATTTTTGA